AAGCCCAGAAGTTTGGTGAAGTTTGGGTTTCAGACATCTGAGTTATGCACCCACAAGGAGCCTGCCCCCCCAGGAAAGTCCCCTAGCAGGCACCTAGAGGCACCAAAATCACAGAGAAGCTTCTAATGATTCTTCTCTGGAATCTCTCCAGGTTTGGTGAAGATTGAATTTTCCCAAGCCAATTGTTAAAGGGCATTTTCTTGTGGGGACCCAGATTGTGACTGTATAACTCGGATGTCTGAAACTCAGTCTTTACCAATCTTGGAGATATTGTAGAGGAGAATCAGAGAAAACCTCTTGGCAATTTTGGTGACTCTAGGTGCCCCTCTCTCTCTCTCTCTCTCTCTCTCTCTCTCTCTCTCTCTCTCTCTCTCTCTCTGTGTGTGTGTGTGATAGCCAAATGAATAAACAACTCAAAAATTGCTAAAAATTCATTGATTTGTGTTCATTGGGGGCATTAATTTGTATGAATATGAATTGATGAATTAGAAATTTTTGAACAAATTCATTTTTTAATTTGTGCCCATTTCTATTTCACACCTATAGATCTCTATGTACATTCCACATATTATTATTCCTCACGCCATCCCTGTTCTTCTGTCTAAGTCTTAGCATTTTCTGCAAGATACCCAGTGCTTGTTCAGGGTAAACTTGAAAAATGAAACTTTTCAAGTTTCTATCTCCAGGGAGCCCTTTTAATGTGATTTCTCCAAGGCCACTGGCTGCATCTATGGCTAAAATAAGGTTTGAATTATAGACATCCATTCTGGCCTGCTATGTTGTATAAGAAGGGTAGAGGCATATTTTTTTTCCAGCAAAAGCAGGAGGGAGTTTTTTGTTGCCTTAAATATTTGCTAGTGCTTAAGATGCCACAAGATCTGCAGGAAGGGTTTGCTTCTCATATGAGTTTAGCTAAAGTGGAATGTTTGTGTATTGCAGAAAAAAATAGGAAGTGCTCTAGGCACACATTCTGTTCTCATGTGATATTGACGAGACATCTTGGATCTCATCAGTACCTTAAATGTCAGGATGTCCCTAGATCAGAGTTGAAAGGATGTGGCTTTATCTTTTAAGAAATGAGGAAAAAAAGGTGTCAGTCACCACTACTGTTCCTCTTGTGCTCTGAGATTTCACCTAAGCCTAGCACTGCTTCTGGCATAGAGCATTACTCTTTGATGGCATAGGTAGTCACAGAAACTCATACAAAAATGACAGTGGGACAGTTTTTAAAAAAAAATAAATGAAGGCATTTTCCATACCAAAAAAAAACACACTGCTCAATATATTCCACCTTATTAGTGCAAGCATTACTCTGGGCAGTTTACAGGTTAAACCTAAACCCCACAATTCATCACACAATAACATACATTCAAACAGTATGGCAACACACGACTGTAAATTGTAACATTCATACAAAAGAAAGAAAGGAAAGGAAAATAAAAAAAATCACATCATCTTGGAGGATCAGTTGTTGGAGGCAACTTTGAATAATTCTGTTTTTACCGATTCCCTGAACATAAAGAGGGAAGCAGCCTGGCATATCCAGAGACTTGGGGCCATGGCCGAAAAGGCCTTTTTGTCATTGCCTTTTTGGCCTTCCTTGGTGTGGCCACTTTTAGCAATATGGATTGAAAGGAGCAAGTTATTTCTGGGAGAGATATTCCAACAAGGAACAAGGTCCTAAATTCTTGATATTGATTCTGGGTACTCCTAGTCAGTTTGTGACTTTAATAAATCATTTGTTTTCCAGTCTAAGCTACAATTAGAACTGCTACATGCCTTCTTCGCTCTTGGGGGCATTGTACTTTTCCCACCATATTCTCTGTACCCCGTGGCTTTAATAGTGCTCTTCTACCTTTTTAAGGAACATGATTTTGATGTCAGTAATGACTTGCAGAGCATTTTTTCCTATCATAGCTCAACACACATTCCCTGCATTCTTTGTACTAGGTAACATTTTTTAATCGCCCACTTACCCTGTTTCCCTAAAAATAAGACCTAACCTGAAAATAAGCCCTAGTATGATTTTTCAGGATGCTCGTAATATAATCCCTACCCCAAAAATAAACCCTAGTTAAGTGAAAGCTGGACCTCCACCATTGTGCAATAACCAGAAGAATATGGCATGACTGTATTTGAATAACGTAGATTGTACATTAAAAAAGCATCCCCTAAAAATAAGCCCTAATGCGTTTTTGGAGCAAAAATTAATATAAGACCCTGTCTTATTTTCAGGGAAACACTGTAGTTATTTAAGTCAAACTGTATGTACTGTAAAGCCAAAACATTTCCTGGCAAAATACCACTTAAATGAGTGTTATAGAGCTATATCTTAATAAATGCAACAGTCAGCGGATAAGAGGGCAGGTCCTCTTATGGATTGAGAATTGGTTGAGAACCAGGAAAGAGTCAATGTGAGAATTGGTTGAGAACCAGGAAAGAGAGTGTCAATAAGGTCCTCTTATGGAGAAGAGAGGTGAAGAGCAGTGTGCCCCAGGGATCTGTCCTGGGACTGGTGCTTTTCAACCTGTTCATAAATGACCTGGAGACAGGGATAAGCAGTGAGGTGGCCAAGTTTGCAGATGACACAAAACTTTTCTGGGTGGTGAAGACCAGAAGGGATTTTGAAGAGCTTCAGAAGGATCTCTCCAAACTGGGAAAATGGGTGGCAAGATCGTAAATGTGATTCAATATAAGAAAATGTAACGTAATGCACATTGGGGCAAAAAAACAAAAGTTTAGTCATCAGCTAATGGGTTCTGAGCTGTCCATGATGGATCAGGAAAGAGATCTTGGTATGCTGGTGGACAGCTCGATGAAAGTGTCAACCCAGTGTGCGGTGGTAGTGAAGAAGGCCAATTCCATGCTAGGGATCATTAAAAAGAGGACTGAAAATAAAACAGCCAATATAATGCCACTGTAGAAAACACTGGTAAGGCCGCACCTGGACTATTGCATACATTTCTGGCCCCCGCACCACAAAAAAGACATAGTGGAACTGGAAAAAGTGCAGAAGAGAACGACTCAAATAATGACTTGGTTTGGGGCATCTCCCTTATGAGGAAAGGCTACAGCGTTTGGGGCTCTTTAGAGAAAAGGCACCTGAGGGGGGACATGATTGAGACATATAAAACTATGCAAAGGATTGATAAAGTGGATAGAATGAAGATCTTTTCCTTCTCACGTAATACTAGAACCAGGGGACATCCACTCAAATTGAGTGTTGGGAGAGTGAGAACAGACAAAAGAAAATATTTCTTTAACCAGTGTGTTGTTAGTCTGTGGAACTCCTTGCCACAGGATGTGGTGATGGCATCTGGCCTAGATGCCTTTAAAAGTGGATGGGCAGATTTCTATAGGAAAAAGTCCTTTGCAGGTTCTAAGCCATGAGGGGCATGTATCACCTCCAGGCTTAAAAGGAAGGTAGCTCAAAATACCAGATGCAGGGGAGGGGTATCAGGAGACAAGTATCTAATTGTCTCATTTGCTCCCAGAGGCATCTGGTGGGGCCACTGTGTGATACAGGAAGCTAGACTAGATGGGCCCTTGGCCTGTTCCAGCAGGGCTCTTCTTATGTTCTTATGGATTTGTGAATTTCCACCATTTCCAAGCACCACTGTTTTAGCAAGTGGGTGATCAGAGGGTGATTTGGAAGAGGTTTTAATATCTTTTTTTCTTTTATTGTAAGTATTAAAACTGCTATTTTGCCAATGGTATAATACTTCTCTGCCAAAGTCAAATCATAGAATTATATCCCTATAATGCCAAATTTTTTTTAAAAAAATTTGTTAATACAAACAAAAGAAGAAAGGAAAGTTCCCAGGTACCATCTTTAAGCACTTTGGCACATGGCGGTTAATTTTCTAATGGCCTTGTGCCTAATTTGGCCCAGTTGAAGTAGCAGAAAACACGCAGCTCCAGCTGGTGATCCATAAAGGGGCAGCATAGTGAAATATGGGTCATATTAAGAAATAAACTTCTTACCCATATAGTCAGTTCCCTGCCTTTTTCAAGAAAATGCAATAGAAGCCACAAAATCCAACGTATCATTTGTTCTGAAGCCAGCTTCAAAGTGGCATAATAGCCGCTAACCATCTCTTCTTCTTAAAGTTACAATTAGAGCTTTGAGACTGCTATGTGTTGCTTTGAAGGTTACGACACCTCCTTCCTGGTTCAGGAGTCCTAACAAATTAAACGTATTTGCCCATTTGTTTGTTATAGTGCAACAGTGGACTTCCACCAGCAGAATCCAGGAGAATCTGTGGGTAAGGATCCACTCTCTGCTCTGGAGGTTTATGTCCAAGATATCTCAAGGAGTCTCCTATTATGAGCCTGCCCAGGTGTAAGGATCACCAGGAGACACCTTTCTCTTAGTCCCATTACCCTCACAGGTGTGCTAGGTAGGACATGGCAGAGGTTCTGTTGCTGCTCCTAGACTCTGGAACCCTTCTCATAGGGGGCCAGGCTTGCACCATCGTTGCTGTCCTTCCGCAAGCAGATGAAGACTTTTCTCTTCAGGCAGGCTTTCCATTATTGACTGGCAGTCTGAGAAGGGTTTTTTTTAATGGATTGTTGTGTCTTGTTGCTTTCAAATGTGCCCTTACTATTGATTTAAATTTTTTGCCATGTTTAACATATTTAATTGTTCTAAAACATTATTTGTATAATGACTGTTTTTAACTTTAAATATTGTCTTTTTTAATGATGCAAACTACCTTGGATCCTTCATAAGGAGAAAGGCAGGCTAAACAAACAAAGAAACATCCCAAACCATCTCTTGAAGGATAGTAAGCCCTCCAGAGCTGGTTTTATGGCACCAGGGACCAGAGAAAGAGAAGACAGTTTCATCCTTATCACCAGCACAGCTCTGGATTTGCCCTCTTGCTTTGTTTCAGTTCAGCAGAGATATTAGCAGTTTTACATGAGTAGCATCCTGAACCTTGATGAGGAATTTTTACAAGTCTTATCCACTGAATTAATCCACCGAATGCACTCTTCAGTTATTTTACAACTTTATTTTTTAAAAAAAGTTTTCACATTCACAAGTTTTCAAGGCAATTATTGCCATTTCTTATATTTAGGAAAATAAATTGTGGCAGAACAGCAGCAGCACATAAAATCTACCTACAGACACACGAACTAGATACACCAATCTACAGTAAGAAAAAGAAATATGTTCCCCATTGATTAGGAAATAAATTATTCCGCATTTAGAAAGATGACATGGAAGAGATCAACACATGGATCAGCAAACCACATGTTGCTCAACAAGACCACATCATATAGACATCATTGATAACACTTCCTACGGGAGATGCATTATTTGCAATTATCTCCCCCACACACACTTTAAATTTTAAGTTCATTTTCCCCCACACAATTCAAACTGCAAGGACTCAGGTAAATAAATTTCCCTTGGGGAAGAATTTAATTACCTTCTTTTGTATAACCAATTGCTTTTCATTTACAGGTCCTGTTCTTAGTGAAAGCATGTTGTCTAGAAAGAAGCTGTCATCTTCCCAACAGAGGCCCAAGGCTGCAGTCCGCTGCAAATATTACTCACACATATGATATGCAGCACCTTCTGCTTATTTTTTGTGGCCTGCTGACTCAAAGGCATATCCTACGTATGGCTCTATTAAAATGTGCAATGGATCTATACCTGTGCTATAATCTGTGTTTTAATCATCTGGGTCAAGTTTGACATAGTTGTCGAGTATCCTATGGATTGAGGAAACATATGAAACTACTGTAATGGGTTGAATCCAGATTTAGTCGCATTTACCTTTGTGATCCATTCAAACTAAAGGAACATAGTAACCAATGACTAACTAAAGTCCCACTGATTTGGATGGATCTCCTCTAACTAAATATGTTGCAACCCATTGCAACTGGATAGGACCAAAATGTTTTTTTAAAGAATGAGATGTGAAATAAAGGACATCTGGAAATGCAAGTGAGATTCAGTTGGATAAGTGGAGTCCCATGATAAGGGGTGGGATCTTTGGTCCTCTATTTATTTTGGACTTTGCCTCTCAGAAGTTGCAGACAACATATCAGATGGTAAAGAAGTATGGGGCTTGCAGTCCAAAACATCAAAGGCTATGGTTTCCCCACCCTTTCCCTACAGGGTTACAACCTTGCAATACTAGGCATGTCTCCTCTAGCCTGCTGTCTGTACTTCTGTTACCCAACCCAGAAAATAATGCACCTGAGGCTTCTTGGGAAGGGTGACCTCAAACCCTGACTCCAGTTGTACAGCTATAAGGAACGGAGGACTGGTGGATGTGAGGAAGAGAGGGTTTCTTCTCCCACTGTCCAACCTGCTTGTACCCCTCCAGCACAGGACATTTGGAAAAGAAACCACACAAACAGGAAAAAGCAAGTGTTCAAGTTTTCATCACCACCAAAGATGTCAGGGTTTGCTTCTTTTGTAAAATTGTGCTTCTTATTACAGCTCTGCTTTCCTAACACAGCTGTTTATTGCTTACACTTTAAAACAAGGCTATAATTAAGAGAGAAGTGGGATGGGAAAGCATGAAGCAGTCAGAAAGGTCTGAGTGAGTGGCCTCTTTTAACATGGTTCTCTCTGCTCCAATACGGCCTGGAGGTACAGTAGTGAATGCACAAATATTCCAGAAGTCATGTTACAAAGCTCAGGGTGTACTTTTTTTGGTACTAAAGTCATTCACTCTTTTGAAAAGCTTGATCTAGCCAGTGTCTGTAAAAATATGTTTTTACCCATAATGAATTTTAGGGTAATTTGAACTAAAAGCAGGAGTTAGGTGGGCTCAACACAAAAGAACAATTTCAAAGTGCATAGATAGCCCCCATTGAAATGCATCAAATCATGACTCCATGTCAATGTTATCCTACATTTCAGTTTAGATGAAATTTCTGAGGCCCTCTGTATTGCGTGGATATGAAATGTCTCCTTCTCAGTCTTTGTTTTCTGGGGTCATGGGACTGTATTGTCTCTTGATCCTAGGAGAGTCCAGCAGGATGATGTTGCAGGAATTGGATTCAGCTTTAGCTGATGGACAGGTGAGTGAATGGGCACAGAATTCAAAACTGAGGTAGGAAAAGCAAAACAAGAGCCTTCAAAGCTTTTGCTCCGAGTCAGCTCTTCTGCAAAGAAGGACACAGCATCCCTTTTGCAAGAGGTGACGGGAGGGCTTGGAGTTGAAGACAATATTTCTGCCTCATATTGTAGCAGCTGGCCCATGAAGCCAAAGTTTGGCGAGATCAGGCTTCTCCGCTGCTTGATGTAATCAAAAGCCTCCTCCAGGCGGAACTTCCGCATTTTCATCAGATAAGCCATGCAGATCGTGGGAGAGCGAGAAATCCCAGCTTCGCAATGCACCAAGATTTTGCCCCCTGCCCGTCTGGTACAGTCTAGGGAGAGAAATAAATAAACAACACAGTGAAGGAGTTTGCTGTCACTTCAGGTGGACATCTCTAATAATAGCACATCTCATGAAAACCCATTTCCCAAATCTTATTTCACAATTCATTTCATAAGGGTATACAAGGGAGGGGAGATATGATAGAAAGGTGTTTCAGAGATGGGAGAAGCAATTTCAGAGTGCCTGAAAATAAATGTCAATTTTGTCAATATATTCAAATAACAAAGCTTAATGGCTATGTAATCAATGAGGAGAGTATTTCCTTCCCCTCATCTAACCACATAGCATCAAGAATTGTGTAGTAAGACAAGTATTGTGGTGCCACAAAAGAACAGAACACACAGTTGGATTATTTTAATAAATATTACAGTGTTGTAATAAAAAGCGTGGGTATGCTTCATATTTTCTCCAACTAGATGAGATGTGCCTATTTTCCTAGTTAGCAAAGAGCAGGAAAGGTGATGCTTTTGTTCCCACCCTGTGGGCTCTTTGAGTAGACACTCAGTATAGGAGTTTCAGCAATGATGTCAAGTTGTGGGTTCCTGGGGTTTCCACGAGAAAGTGCACAATAAACCAGCCTTAAATGTCTGATTATAACCCTTGGTAAGTGGTGGTTGGACGTAAGTCAGACTATAAATGGCTCAGGCAGAACTACCATTTTACACAACAGGAGGCCCCAAGGTTACTCACACAAATCAATTATTGTTATAAAATTAAAGAGAAATTGCTGAAAATAAGCTCCTTGTGCAAAATGCATGGATTAAAAATAGAATTTGCTCTGCTTTGGCTGGCCTGAGAAATGAATTCTCAGTTTTTGCCTGATTCTGAAGCATACTTATTAAATGTATAGGCCAAACTGTATTCTGTTCTTGCTCATATACTTTTACATTTTATTATGTGACTGTTGCATTAAAAATTGTTTCTTGAAGCAGCTGTGGTAGCCTTCTCCCAACCCCAAACTGGTTCCCTAAAGATATTTTATGCTACATCTCCTATAATCCCTGACTATTGGCCAAATTGTTTAGGGTTGATGGGATTTGTAGTCTAAACATGCAATGAGCACCAGATTCAGGAAATCTAATTTATCAGACTCCCAAGTTTTAAAGTAAAGAAGCTGCAAGGGGTTTAGAATATAGTGCTGCTTGAATAGGCATTTACAGTATAATCCACTAATTCTCTGCTCAGAAATATGCTTCACTGGATACAGTGATTCTTATGTCTAGGCAGGTGGATACAAATTGCAGCCCTAACCAGACAGCTTAAAGTCACTTCTGTAATAGAGCAGAAATGACAAAATTATGTACCTGAGGAGGAAGGTTTTAAGTGCCATTTTTTAAAAAAGATCCATTACAGAGACAGAGACAGTCTCTTTCTAAAGGGAAATTTGAGGCAGGCATTGAAAATTTTTTCCCCTCTGATCAGAGTTAGATGTATTTCTGGGGATATCCTAATGATTATCTCAATGGTCATTGTTATTGTTACTCTTTATTTCAGAGAGATTGCTCTTGAATAGCCAACAATTCTGAAAATTCCAAATGATATCATCTTTCAGAGAAACCAAACCTACCAATAAATTCAATGGCTTCCTGGAAGTGGGAGCTGATGTCAGCAGTGTGGCTGTCCTCCACCGGAATCCATTTATAGCTGTATTGGTCTGTACAGGGCTCTGAGCTTTTCCTGGAGACATTCAAGAGGGCAGTGATGTTCAGGTTGGCAAGGAACTCACACTTGGAAGCATGGTAGGCACTGCCAAGGTACAAGAAAGGGAGAATCTCCACTGGGCCACCCTAGAAAGCAAAGGACAGCATCATTATAGGGAGGTTGTCTTGGTTCTTCTCTTTTCCTCAAGCTAAGGGACTCTCGGCAGAAAAAAAACTGTAGCTGACCTATGTGAACTATTTTGGAGCATTTCCAGACACTGATGCACTCAGACAGGAAGTACTTTGTAAGATGCAGCAGTTTCTGTTGTGGGAGTTCAGAGCGACTGCGGGTAGTTTCGGCACAATAGCAACTTTGCCTCCTACGCCTATCCCACTGTTCTTGACATGAGCAAGAGGGCTGCATGCAAAAAAAGAGATGTGGGCCAAAGGGACTCTGACCAACAGCACTGATCCACCACCACTCATCCACCCATTAAACCAAGAGCTTGAAAAAGTTGCCCTTTTGGAATGCAGCTTCCACAATCCCTCAGCTGCCACTGCTGTTGGCCTGCATGGTCAAAGGATTCTGGAACCTTTAGTGCAAGGAAGCAACAGGCTCTAGTCACATTGCTAGAGCAGAAAACTCCTTACGGAAAACAAAAGATTCCTAATCGATATTTGCAAGGGGTGAAGACACGGCTATTCCATCCACATATTTCCCCATCCCCTCCACCCACCCCCAGAGGGTCACTATTCTTCATTCCCTTCTATAACATTAAAATGCAACTAAATATAGGGTGGGGAGGAACCTGCTTCTAAGAATCATGTTAGGAGGTGCTTTTCATTTGAAGTTCAGTTTGAAGGAAAAACATAAACGTATTACCAGGCTTGGCACGATACCACTTTTATCCCTTCCTAATTAAAAAATGCAGGGAAGCAGCTGCCATATGTTTGCACAGAGCCTGCTCTGACTTCAAGCTGGCTTTGTATCCCAAAGCGCTACCAGCATAAAGGACCCACGGCCATGCTGCATCAGACCCACAACTGCCTTCCGGGAAACTCTCAGCAACCCGTGACGCCTGACAAGATTTACCTTTTCTTGCCTCTCCCCCCCCAAAAAAAATATGGAAGGTAGTCTCAGCTCCTGTAGAAGATGAGAAAAGAGCCACCCAGAAACCTTCACAGCTATATTTTCAGCACCCAGAAAAGTAGGGCCAAACACCACCCACCTTTTACACAACAGGGACAGACAACTATAGTACTCTAAATGTTTTGGACTACAAATCCCATGCTGCCTCATGGTTGATTGTCCTGGCTAGGGGTGCTGGGAGTTACAGTCTAACATCATATGGAAGGCCAAAGCTTCCCATTGCTGATTCATAACCTGTTTCTCAGATGTGTATACAGTATGTAATCAAGGAAATAAAACTGCAAAGATACCCTGTTGCTATTGGTGTATGTGGTTTCAATTTCCTCCCTCTTCTTCTCTTTAGTCACTTAAGGCCACACCAGTTGACAAAAGTGCATCTCACCCCCCCAACCCTTACTTGAAAGGTAGCAAAAGTGCAGATTGACTCCATTTGTCACATTGCCAGACATGAATGAGAGAGCAAACTAGTCAGTTATGAACAGGATGATGACAGGAAGAGCCCACAAGGAGGCAGCGTGTGGGTGGGATTAGTCATATCTTCCCCTAAACACACCTGATCATATGCTGGTTTGTGGTGGATGCTCGGCTTCTCGCAGAGGCTGTTGCTGCTTTTCTCTGTTTCACTCCTCTCCTGGGATACAGGTTTTGCATCCACGCAGAACTCAGGATACTGTGAATAGAAGGTTTCATAACCTCCTGGAGAAAGAAGGAAGCAGACAAAGAAATACAAATTAGCAGAGCACAGGGGGTGAGGAAGCCACTCATTTGCACCAGATCACTAATTAATTTTTGAGACCATGGTAATGTTCATTGCATGAGAAGCTGCATAAAAAAAGGAAAGCTCTGCCAGAATGATAACAGAGCAGTTAAAGAAAAAGAGCAGAAGACAAATGTCTCACATTTAAGAGTTCATCAAAGTGGTTACAATTCTTTGCAAATGGAAATGACATGGATCAGTTCCAAAGGACTAAGCCTAAAGATAATTTATTCTGTGATTCTTAAAAATTGGAGAGCTTCATGTTTATATAAATTTAAGAAAATGCACATCCAGAGAGGCTGTTGTGTATTGATTAATCTAACTTCCATTCCCTTGCCTTCTGGCAAATGAAATGGATTCATAAAGAGTTGTGAAAATTAATGAAATTCTATGATGGGCTCAGTCTGCTAAATAGCCCCAGATGAGTGGTTTTGCCCTATAAAAGAAAAGATTTGCAAAGCTTACGGCACAGTTGGTGAAAATACATGCTGTTGTAGCTCAGAACTCTGCAGACTAGAACCGGAAAATATGCACAATGCAACACAAACAAAGCATATGTCTGTGTTCTTTGTTTTTACATAGCACTGAAATGAAGAATATTCACATAAGTTGCAAAACCTCTAATCATAAACTGTGAATATGATTGACTATAATTGGTTCATAAACAGCTTTGTCAGCGTAAGCGCCTTATTGCTATACCTTCCAAATAAAAATAATTGTGCTGGGTAGGTTGACTGTCTGACTCTCCACCCAAGGAATCATACCCAAGGAGAAGTTAGTATAGGTTTCAAGAGCTTCCTGTAGGGCTGTTTAACAGACAATATTTGATGCAGCCACAATGCAGAAGGTCCAGATAGCTGTCTTTTAAATTCCAGCTTGTCTTTGCTAGAAGCTAATACACAAGCCCACTGCAGAATGAATAGACACATTATTTGGTAAAGCTCATAAACTTGAGATGAGGAGACCATGGGGTAACTCCATCATATAAAAGCAATGCTTTATGTTTTAAGTCATCCCCACAACTTGATAGGCTAATAGAAGACCCAGCAAATCTCAGGTGAGAGCTCATTCTGGAGCACTTACACAATCAAAATGGAATCACGGAATCTCTGTAGAATTAAAAAAACAACAACAACAACCCCAAAACAATTTCCAATGAACAGCCAGCTATGTTTTTCTCTTGCTCTCTCTCTTCTACATTTCATGTCACATCCCTTTTTTCCTCCTGACAATTCTCAGAAAACAGGTTTTAAAAAATATATTTTAACTGTCCAATCAGTTGTAAACATCCATGTTTTCACAGAAAAAAGACCAACTCATGTCTCTCATAGATGGCGTCTGTGCTGAACAGGTAACTAGCAACCTGGAGCTTTAGGAATAAGGAGCTTTACAGGCAGTTCTTTAGATGAGTCACTTTAAAAAAAAAATCAAATCCCCAGTTTTGTCTTGTTCTCTGCCACTAGCTGAATGCTGCTATTATTTTTTGTTCTTACTACATTACTCATCTCATGTGTCTGCTTTTCAGAGGAAGATGCTTCATTTTCATAGCTAATAATAACAATTCTAGGCCTAGCAAAGTGGCAGCAGAGAAAAAAAAGACACTTGGGCAGCTTCTCTTATGGGAAAGTATTGCTTATTTCAGAGTAAATATCTTACCCTCATAAGGGTATGCTGCTATTTGATAGCATTTTCACTCCAACATGTATCACAGGTGTACCCGTGACTTTTTTAAAAATATGCCATCAAGTTGATTACAACGGACGGCAACACCTTCCTAGATACAGAGTATGCAGAAGAGGCCTACTATTCCCTTCTTCTGGGATAGGGTAGCTTGCACCAGGCGACAAAGGCTAGGTTTTCACCCTGAAGCACAGAGGCGAACTCCTGACATCTGGCTTTGTAGCCAAGTATCCAACTCAATGAGCTGTCCAGCCAGCCATGTCTATGAGACATGGAAGGAAACTATCTTGTGGTCAATACATGTCAATGTGTGCATAAAACCTACAGAAAAGCCTATAGGGAAGGAAGGCCACAGATCAACATCAGTCCCATAGACATTTTATAGGCCAATACATTGTACCACTATGAGTGCAAATCAGAGAGACTGAATTAACAGATGCTGGAAAGCGTCACGCTTAAGAGGGGAGGGAGGAAGACCATGAATCCAACAAGCATCATGTCACTCATCAGTAAGAGCAATTCCCTGAAGAGATGAATTGTGCTCCTAGTAGCTGTTAGTTGACATGAATTCTGACTCACATGCCTTTATCACATGATGATTGCCTGAGACCAACCCCATTTAAGAATTTCTTTCCTTTCAATGGTCAGTTTTCTCTCATTTTCCCACACAGACAAAAAACCCTTGGGATAAACTCCAAGATTCTTCCATTATTTTATAGTGAACATTCAGGCAGAACTAAATAACATAGTCAGAGTGTGAAGATCAGTCATAGTTGGTGACTGAAATACAGTTCATCAGTGTTGCTAGATGATACAAACAGCCTGTGGCTGTAATGCCATATTATATTTTTAGATATACAGCATTAATTGCCTTCAGACTAGACCAAAATACATACACATGATCTCTCACAGTGACAGCACATGTCTACTAGGCCAAACAACAACTAACACTTTCAAGCCAGGTATTATTATTCTTCTCATGTTAGCCTGCTATCAGTGGCTCAGGATGTAGATCTATAAATGCAGGTTGGGGGAACACACAGAAAGCTGTGCATGGGTGTGTGTGTGGTTTGATAAAATATGAATCAGAAGCAGCCATCACACCATACTCGTGTGGTGAGCCAAGAGGACAGAAGCGGGCTGTATGTGACGCAGTTCCTTCAAGGCAGAATCAAGAAGGGGCAACCACAGGAGACGAAATAGCACCCAGAAGAGTTAAACACTGTATTGAAGAGCTACAGCCAAAGATACATAATAACCCAATCTGAATCAAGGCTGGGAACAGGTACACTTTAGACTGGTAGTGAGCTTTGCAATGAATTAAACAAACAGTTCCACCTCATGAGCATGCAACCTGTTTCCTCCTAAAGGGGAGAGCACCATTATTATATGCTCCCATCCTATTTCCCACCCGTTCTCTGAGCTAGGTAGCCATGAAGTGCTGAATCTCTATCTGCATCTGTGTGATCCTGTTTTACAGAAGTTCTTTAAAGCCGTACAGGTAAGATATGCAGAATGCACTGGGACTGGGCATATTCCAGCCAGGAGTTGCAGGTGGGTAGGTGGGTGGGAATGCAAAGCAGCCTCTCCAATTATTTACTGCATAACAACGCATGTAGTCACATCATATCTTTCGTAAAATCAACTTAGGCTTCAATTTGCTCCTAATGAAAGTATTCTGCTAGGCCACATACACAAAGAGGCAATTATTTACTCATTACTTCAAATGCACTAGTAACTCATGCAGGAATGAGGCTGGTGTGTACAACATTACAAAGCTACCTACGTTAGCAATTTACAGGGAACATCCCTATAGGGGGCACTGCTGGGTTTTTACAGGGAAAGCTGTTTTTACCGGGGAGTGGAGGTATCCTGGTATCTTTTCTCCTTCACTCCTACCCCCCACCACTTTCGTCTCACCGCTACGTGGCGAACGGTATCGCAAATCTCCAGATTGCACACCAAGAGTGAAATGCGGCTTCTCAGAATTAACTGAGGTTCACATTCGTATCAAAGCTTTAATTTATTTTTCCACTCAACCCAACTGGAACAGCCCACAGTCTTCTCTTTAGAAAACCGTAACTTCCTGATCGAAACCAGCCCAGAATCTGTTTTTTAATCCCGTGTTAATACTTCTCGCGATTGAGTCGTGCAGTCCCCCCCTCCTATTATTTGTGATGGGCGTAATTTTCAAAGAATATGTAAAATATTACGGCATGTCCTTTATGTGGCGTTAAATTTCTTGCCGGTCGTCGCTTTTATTGGGCAGTTACCGACGCTTTTCTTTTTCTTTCTGGATGGCGCGCGCGGGGGGTGTTGTCTACCAAAAGGCGAATCTGCTTAGCCGCCCATTCTCAACTAACTATAGCAAGGCTGATTCTCCTCTTCCCAGCTTTAACATCCATTACCAGTTGTATATACGTATATATACAAGACACGTACATTATAGATGACTGGGAGAAGAAAACACCGCCTCAGCCCAAGGTCCGGAAAACGTCTACAAACTTGCGTTACTTATTCAACGCGGCCCAAACTACCCGCTCGATCGGAACGCGGTCGCGTTTTCAACCCGGCAGTTGGGTCTCCAGATTTCTAGCCGAGGGACAACGAGGAAAACGCGCCGAGGATCAGGAAGGATCAGCAAGCAAGGATCCTCAACGGAAGAATGCTTCTGTAAACGGATCCCACTTTACAAAGATAAGGAGGGACTTCGGAGTGGCTGCTCCCCTCCGCTCTCCTCTCTCGCCCCGTGTGCTCCCCCTCAAGGGTCCAGAGTGATGGACATTATCAAGGAGGAACTGCAAAGGATCGGGCTTTTCCTGTTCCCCTCAGAGAGAAGCAGCCCGACTCAGAAGAGTCTCTCTTTCCCGGAGGGGACTAGCAGGAAGGTGACGAAGGTGCGCCCTCAGGTCGAAGGCTGGCGCTTCCCCCCGGCCGAGCGCTCTCCCTCCTTCCTTCCCTCCCTCCCTCTTGCGTCCTGGCCTCCCCTCCCTGTTTCCTTCCCAGCCCGGGTGTCTCGGCCTCCGCCGCGGCCGCCGGCTTCTCACCTTTCAGGAAGCAGACTTTGGCTCCGGTCTCCGGCAGGCTGGCCAGCAGCGTGTTCACCACGATCTGAGCCGTGCTGTCCTTCTTCAGCTTCCGCCAGTGGCGAGTGTTTTGGTCCAGGACGACCACCGCCTTCAGCAGCCGAGGCGAGACCCCATCCCCGTCCCGGTCCCCTCCTCCTTCTTCGCCGCCGCTTCCCTCCGGACAAGCCGCCGGTGGCAAGAGCAGCCGCCCGCGAGCTGTCTCGTCGGGCACCACGAAATGGAGCGGCACGGGGCGCCCGTGGGCGCGGCGGATCACCACGGAGTTGAGGTTCACGTTGAGCGATCCTCCGAGGCAAGAGGCCGAGTAGGCGAGGTACGGCCGGCAATCCAGCACCAGGCACCGGGCGGGCTCCTTACGGAGCAGCTGCTTCAGCTGACGGGAGGCGAGAGAGGTTACCTTCATCTTCGCCCGCTCCCTCCGAGCCCAGAGGCGGCTCCTCGCAAGTGGCCTCGAAAAGCCACCGATTCAGCTGCCGAGGATTGCCAAGAGGCACCCCTGGTTTTTAAACGCAGCCGGAGGGGCTGCCGCCCAGGCTCCTTAATCCCCCTCCTGGCTGAGTTTACGGCGCTCCTCGCCTCGGCATTTCCCTCCCTGGGACTCTCAAGCAGGGGATTCCGCTTACAAGCAGCAGCAATTTATCTGAATGAAAAGCTAGAGCCGCGCGACCGTGTCCATATAAGGCGACTGACGTCACGCTCACATTCCGTAGTAGACACGCCTCTTGTCCTAAACCGCGGCCGCGACTGTGTGTGTATGTATAGCTGTAGAGGTGATTCCTTCCCCCAGGAAGAGGCGAAGGCGGAGGCAGTGCTTAAGAGAAGCGTTAGTCAGACTTCTTCAAGCGAAGGAAGTTGAAGAACGCCTCAAAAATTCTCGAGTCATCAGAAAGCCCTCCTCACACGCACTCGACCATCATTTGTTTCCGTCCACTCAGTAATGAACGGGGAGGAAATATGATGATGGTGGTGGCGGTGGCAAGAGGTGGGGGGGGGCTGAGGTGAAGTAGGATAACTGTTCGCCTCAGGGAATAAATGTGTGCAGAAAAGTTCTGTGTTTTTTCTTCTTTTAGGAGTAATTTAAATACATTTCAAATTTTCCTCTAGATAGCAAAAACAGATCAGTTATAAATCGAATGCAGGATGAAACATTTTGTGCCTCCATAGAAATAAACAGAAAACAAAACAACTGTTTAAATTAATATAAAGACACATACCGTGCATCTCCGAAAATAAGACAAGGTCTTAATGCATTAGGGCTTATTTTCAGGGGATTTTTTTCATGTGCAACCATGTACCTTATTCAAATACAGTCATGCCATCTTCTGGTTGCTGCACAATGGTGGAGGGCTGGGTTTCACTTAACTGGGGCTTATTTTTGGGGTAGGACTTATATTATGAGCATCCTGAAAAAATCATACTAGGGCTTATTTGCAGGTTAGGTCTTATTTTTAAGGAAACAGGGTATCAGTCATCCCCAAATACTGGATTTATTATGTATGACGTAAGTAGATATGTTTGGTGGAAATCACCTCTGCATTTTCAAGACCTTTAAGTGGTGTTTGGAAATCTCCCACTTCAGTTAATGTGTAGTACCCCATTTCTGCTTTTCTCAGTTGGAGAAAATCCCCACCACATGCCTCTCCAGCTCATTCAGAGGAAGGCCCTCCACTACTCCCCTATGGCATTTCTGGGCCCAAAGTGCCCTTCAGGGAGAATCAAAGGCAGGTGGTGCCCCATCCTAGGATGCTTTTCTGCATGAGCTGTCCATCCATCCATCCATCCCATCCTTGCACCTGAGGTAAACCAGCTTTCATGTCAGTTTTGTCTCTGTGATATTTTGCAGGATGCACACACATGAATGAAGAAACAAACAGATGTCTTCAAAACGTTTGGGGATATGGAGGAAGGATGTAGATGAGGTTTTTGGCTACCTGCAGGAGTGGTTAAAACTACTGTACAGAAGATGTTTTCCATTTTGGGGACATAAACATTTGAATGCACGTAGAATCAACAAAAGATGACATTTCCTGATCATCTGGTCTCATATCTTTCATAATTCATGCATTGTCTGCGCTTAAGGAAAATCCCAAGCTACACATTCCTTCTACACACAATGTTACTCAGAGCTTAGCCTTTCCTCTCAAAGAGTAGAAGTTAAAATTTAAAAGCAAACCTTGTCCCAAAATGCAGTTTTATGGGGGGAGATGGTGGAAGGAAGGACTCAAGATACACTTTGAACAGAAACCATTTGTTAGTGGTATTAAAATGAGAGGCTGCAAAGGGATTGTAAATCCACCTTCCTGTCAGCCATTAACTGATTTAAAACTTTATTGCAAGCACATTTGAAATGACATGTCTGGCTTTCATGCATGAACTCCAGCAGAAGACAGTTTCAAAGCTCTTTAGGAGCCCCATGTGACACCTGGTCTATAGAGGGAGATACTGGGCAAAGTCCTAGGACAAAGAGAGAGAGAGAGAGAGAGATTTGTGCTGTAAGTCAGAACCAACTTGTTGTGAATCTAACAGGGTTTTCACGGTAAGTGAGAATTAATTGGTAGTTTTATCAGTTCTATCCCCCCATAAGTTCCTATGGCTGAGTGGGGATTCAAACCGAGGTCTCCTGAGTCCCAGTCCATCACTCTATCTACAGTCCATACCATGCTGCATCCCTGCTTTTATTTTATTTCAATATCACTTTGCTTGTTTCAAGTATTATATTAAATCTCATCTGTTAGCACAGGAAAGTCTTGTGCAAACATTCAGGATGCCTGAACTATGGCAGGAAGCAGCCCTCAGACTCTTCCTTCTCACAAAGTTGTCAACTGTGTAAAAGCTGTAATGTATTGTAGTTCCTGGATGATTTCCCTTCTGATAACTACAACACAGTTGGTAATGAAGGAGAGGAAATTATGAGCTTGCCTTGCCTGGGACTTTCTTATGTTATATCAACATCCGTGAGAGTAATATATGAAACAGACTTAAGAGTTATATAGAAAGAGACTTATAGCACTTGAAAGGCTTCCTATTATAGCATAAGCTATTTATTACTGGAGTAGAAAGCCACTTTTTCAGGTGGCTGAAGATTTTACATGAATGCACAAGTGTGATGGTGGCGGCAGAACCATGGAGTTTTAAACAACAGAGTTAGAGGGAAATGAAAATAAAAAGTACCCATAGTGCCAATTCAATTAGAACTTGCATATGTATTTTTAAAAAAATGAGCACTGGGAAACTTTAGGACAACAACCATAGATGGTAACACCATCAGTTTAGCAATGCTGCACTGATTAACAGCTGTACTGGGAGTGGCACAGAAAACTATTATCTCTATTCAAACCCAAATGAATGAACTGAACTTTCTCATAGCTTGTAATTCAGCTATCTTGTCTTAGTCATGATTAATAGAAGAAATCATGAAGAAGTATTTCTCAGCCCTGTTATCAGAGGTTCTGTTACCTACTGGCTCATTGTAACTAACCGTATATGGATTTTATATTAGGAGTCAGTGTAGTACAGTGAAGAGAATATCTGATGAGGACTCAGGAGGACAGGATTCATGTCCCCATTTGACCATGGAAGCTCACCATGAAATGGGGAAGGTAAACTACCCCTTGGGCGTCTCACGTACTTCAAAGAGCCTATTAGCATCACCATAAGTCAGAAGTGACTTGATTACACATAACAATTTTCTGCTGATGAAGTCTTTTGAAACTTTTAGATGTATATGCATTTTTTACTATTTCTTTGAACGGAAAGTTCACAGGAAATTGGCAGTATGATTAGATCCTACATGTTCTCATGGTAGTAAAAAGCTGTATTCCAAGGCTGGAAAGATAAATGTTCAACATCATTCAAAGGTCAGAACATTTTATTACTTTAGTTATGAATGTCTATTTGACTGACAGCAGCTCCCATCAATCTATTTTTGTTTGGAGGGCATGTAGGTGACATGTCAATGTGAAAGACAAAGTAAAAGTATAAAAATAAAGACAAAAATGTTGTGGCAAGTTAAAGATTTAACTGCTATATTTTAAGGTGAGCTTTCATGGAACAAGTCCACCTCTTCACACATAAGACTGATAGTACAGAGACTACATGGCAAAACATTCATGGATGGCTGTAAGATAAAGAGACAGTGGTGGTTGTTAGGCTAAAGTCCAAACTGTGCATCATTGTGGCATTTCACAACTAGTAATGACTTAAGACCCGTGTTTGGTATTCAGTTCTTTTCTTTTAAAGTTTTGTTCTGTAAACAGTACAAATGATTAGTGGCTAATGGAACCCCAGGGTACAAAAAACAACAGCATAAACAATGTATGAATCACAGACGTTACCTTTGGAGCTTGTATTGCAAGGGTCACTGTGGTTGGGAAAGAACTTGGTTCTGGAAACTGACAGCAGATGACAACATAATTATTGCAGTATTTCATATTTAGGTAAAATAGGAAACACAGCTACCACTTTGAATGCTACAGTTATGTCAATGTATACACCTAATGGATGTTTGTATGCGGTGGAATTCCTTCTTTCTATCTTTTCTTCTCCCTCCCCCCCCCTGCACTTATGGGCCATAATGCTGTTGTGTAATGATATTGGTGAGAGGGAAACAGTGTAATTTATAGTGGCAGATGGCTGCTAATTAAATACTCCTTTTTTTGCTTCCTCTTTGAGTGCCAGTTGCACAGTTTGACATACAACCAGGGATCCAAGCGAGAGCTCATTAATTAGCAGCAATTTGCTACTATGAATTACACCATTTCTCTTCCATAAGTGTAACTATGCAATAGATTTTGGCCATAATTTTAAAATACAATGTTTTGAAAAAAACTGGAAATACAAGGAATGAATTTTGGTCCTCCAGTCACCAGTGCTGGAGGTCTAACCCAGGGGTGGGCAAACCTCCAGATGATGCTGGATTTCCATCAGTGAGGAGTGCTGGGAGATGCAGCCCATCAACATCTGGAGGACAGTACTTTGCTCGCATCCGATCTAACATTTGCCACTCTTAAGCAATGATGTGCAGCTTGATTGTCTGACAATGTTTACCATGATTTACATTTCTGTCTTTGGCCATTTCTCCAATTTAATGAGATATATAGCACCACTGCCATCGTTTTCTGTGTTCCAAGAAATTATTTATGGAATGGAGATTTTTTTTTGTAATGGCTTAGTCAGATATTTGTGGGCAAGCATCTTATTAGGTACCCACATAGGCTCCATCTTCCTCTAAGTGTGGCACTTCCCATTAGCTTTCTGAGAAGACTTTCTGCTTTTGCATCTCTCAACAGCTGTGATTCACTTACCTGGGTGGTGATTATGCACCCAAATTCATGCCATTCAAGGCTGGAATGTACAGTTTCATCACAGAGCAATCAAATGGGGTGAACTCAGAAAGCACTTACTGTAAGTGAAGGATGTGATGGGCTTGGCAAAGAGAGGGTTAATTCATTCCCCATCGTCTGTAAAAATGTGTGCCTGGTAACAGAATTGGCCAGATGGGAAAGGGGAGAAGCATACTGGAATGAAGAGAATTGTTTGGAATATCATCTGAAAGTTTCAAGGCCAGAGAAAACTTTATGAAGCCTGTCCCCATGGTATCACACAGTATCTTAATTGTTAGCACCTGATTTGTTTGAGGGCAGGAGG